CAGCCCAGCCGCGGCCGCCCTCCCGCCCCAGGCGACGCCAGCTCCGCCCCGGCCCCGCCACGCTGCGGCCACGGGGCGGAAAGGGGGCGGGGAAAGGGACTCCCCCCACCCCAATACACAGACACACTCACCCTCGGTTTCCCGGAAAGTCCTTATTGGGCTCCCGGCTTCCCGCTGGGCAAAGTAACTGAGCAGCCCGCCCTCTCGGTGGTTCCTCGGACTTCTAACAAGGGGCAACCTCGGATTCCTACCCTGTAAAATGGGGACAAGCCCAGCTTCTGTCTAAGCAGAAACAAAATAGCGGCTAGACAATGGTGGTTTCCTTAACCTGCTAGAATCGTCTGCCTCTCACTTGTCCCTGAACTCAATCAGGGATCCGGACTGTCCTGTCCACTCCCATATCCTCAGCTCTTGGCACATAGCAGGAACTCAAAACCCACTTGATAAATGAATGAATGAGTGAGTGAATGAATGCCTTGTAAGTTATGAGCTAAGTCCTTCAATCTGAGGGGACTGGAACAGAAGAGTGCTCAAACCACGGACTTCATCTCCCCCACTACGGACAGTGGCCCTGCTCAGGCTGACCTGATTCTCCTCACTCCCAAAGTCACCCCATTTCCACTGCCAGACCCTTGTCCCAAGCTGTTCCCGTCTTGGAATACCTTCTTTCACTTCTTCCTTTCAACCAAGTCCAAACCCTTCAAGACCTGATCCAAGGTTGGGCTCGGTGGCTCAGCCTGTAATCCCAGCACTTTGGGAGGCTGCGGCAAGGGGATTGCCTGAGCCCGCGGGTTCAAGACCAGCCCTGGCAAACTGGCGAGACCTCATCTCTACAATAAAAAAAAAAAAGAAAAGAAAATTAGCTGGGTGTGGTAGCACATGTCTGCAGTTCTGATTACTTGGAAGGCTGAAGTGGAAGGATCATCAGAGCCCAGCAGGTCGATGCTGGGGTGACCATGAGTGTGACATGGCACTCCAGCTTGGGTGACAGAGTGAGACTCCAAAAGACCTTGATCCACTCTCCCTACTTTTCTACCTGGGTTTCTCCCTTGAGGACAGATATTCCACACCATTATTCAATGCACACTGTGGCCCTCAGGCCCAGAGACCAGTTGGTTGGCTCTGTCTGTGATGGTAGAGAAGATGAGGCCTTCTAGACTAAGAGGGCCAAGGCAGACAGCGAGGTTGTAGGAGTTGCCCTGGAGGGGGTGGCAGGTGAGCAGGTGTGGGTAGGGGAGAGCTGGAGCCTGGAGGTGGGCGTTTACCATGGCACAGATGGCCCACTGGGCTCCCCTTGGGTCTGGACTTTCTGCTTGCCCAATAACATGAGAACACACTGGATACTTAAGAATCTCAGCTCAGCTGGGTGTGGTGGCTCATGCCTATAATCCCAGCAATTTAAGAGGCTGAGCCGAAAGGATTGCCTGAGCCCACGGGTTCGAGACCAGCCTGAGCAATTTGGTGAGACCTCGTCTCTACAATAAATTAAAAAATTAACCGTGTTTGGTAGCACATGCCTGTAGTTCCAGCTACTTGGAAGGATGAGGAGGAAGGATCACCTGAGTCCAGCAGGTTGAGGCTACGGTGGCAGTGAGCATGCCACTGTACTCTAGCCTGGACAACAGAGTGAGATTCTCACTCAAATAACAACAACAAAAAGAATCCCAGCTCATAGAACTGAGGATACATTCTGTAGCTGAGCACCGTATTTGTATGTCTGCATTTGAACTCTGCCCCAATCCCCTATAAATAAATATTTGCATATGGAAGGAATTCAGTTCTACTCCTTTATTTATTTCATATCCTAATCAATACCTTTAATTAAGCATGACTCCATACACCGAGATAAGGGGATTAGGTAATGAGGCTGACCCAGTTGCTTACCTCAGGTGCTGACAGTTTAGTAGAGGGGACAATACACACAGATAACACAAGGTCATCCAGAAGTGGGAATGTGGTTAGGACTGGTGGGCTTTGTAAGAGTGGGGGTATCTGCAGGAAGCATGTGGAACACCCAAATTAGGTATTTACAGGTGTAGTCGGAGTGTGGGGAAACCACACAGATAGTGAATCACCAAAGGTAAGAGCAGTGGGTGGCTGTCAACTCTTGGCTGAAGGGGCATGAGAAGGAAGTGATAGAAGTGAGAGCTATGAGTAGGGGGCTGCTGTGGCCTAAGGTGGAGGAGCAGACCCAGCCCACAATCACTTAGAGAAGGACGAGGGCTAAATAAGGGACCTCCCTCCCCAGGTTCCTTCCCTCTGGTCTATGGGAAGGTTTCCCCATAAGCTGAGTTCTCCCAGAAGCCAGGACCCTAGAACCTGTGGCTGCAGCCCACAGAGGTCAGCCTCCTGGGGTGTAGAACTGGGTGGGGGTGGAGTACTATCTGGAGGAGCCACGTGGGCCCGGGGGGTGACTACACAGAGGAAATTAGTTTGAAACGGCTTGCCTTTTCTTATCATTCAGTTTTAAATAGTTCATGAATTTCATTGTAATTTCCTCTTTATCTCTTGGATGATTTAGAAGTGTGTTGTTTCGTTTCTCAATCTATGGGAGGTTTATGTTGCTCTTGACTTCTAATTATATTGCATTGTGGTCAGAGATCATGGTCTGGAAGACTCTTTGGAATTTGACGTGACTTCCTCTGTGGCTTTGTACATGGTCGTTTTCTGTGCCTCTGAGCTGGGTTTTATAGGATAGGCGAGCATTTATCTGGTGAAGAGTGAAAAGCACAGAATCTTGCACTATGGGAAATAGAGATGATCCATTTTGAAGGGACCTCAGATGTTCCCAGCCAATCTGTAGTGTCCTTCGGTGTCTATGGGTTGGTAGGCAGATGGAAGGGTTGGAGGAAGCCCCAGAGACCAGATCCCTCAAATACCTGGGCCCTCTTCCTGCCACTTTCAGTGTGGGCTGGAGAGATCGGTTCTTCCAGGAGGCTCTACTGGGGCTGCGAAGACCCAGGCCTTGGAGAACAAGGCCCTGGCTTTACCACGCATTGACTGTGTGGCCTTGTGTTAGTCCGGCCCTCTCTGATAATGCACTGTAACCCTACGGCACTGCACAGTTATA